CCAGCCAGGGGGCCCCACCAGCCAGGGGACCCCACCAGCCAGGGCACTACCAGCCAGGGGACCCCACCAGCCAGGGGGCCCCACCAGCCAGGGCACTGCCAGCCAGGGGACCCCACCAGCCAGGGGGCCCCACCAGCCAGGGCACTGTCAGCCAGGGGACCCCACCAGCCAGGGGGCCCCAGGAACCAGGGGACCCCACCAGCCAGGAGGCCCCACCAGCCAGGGCACTACCAGCCAGGGGACCCCAGGAACCAGGGGACCCCACCAGCCAGGGGGCCCCACCAGCCAGGGGGCCCCACCAGCCAGGGCACTACCAGCCAGGGGGCCCCACCAGCCAGGGGACCCCACCAGCCAGGGCACTACCAGCCAGGGGGCCCCACCAGCCAGGGGGCCCCAGGAGCAGGCAGTGAGCTCGTAACCCGCTCACATCCTGATGTGCCCCAGCCAACCCCGCCCGCGCCGTCCCCCTGGCACACTGCTGAGCCTCCTCTCGGAGCCTTCCCACAGGCTGTTCTGTCCCCAGACCCACACATTCTTTTCCATCCATTCCTGACTCAAACGTGTTCTCAGACTGGAGGCTTGGCTCTAGTGGTAGAGCATAAACTGAGTCAGAAAACCAAATGAGAGCTCAAGACTGAGTTCAAGCCCTACTACCAAAACAAAAAAAGAACAGAAAACACCTCAGAGAGGCCTTCTCTGGTCACCACACAGAATAGTTCTACTCTGCCAAACTCCCTGCTCCTCTTTTCCGTTTTATTACTTATTCTCCCCGCTTGTCACTGTCCAAAGTACCTTTTAGCTCAGTGGAGGCAGCAATCTGTCTGGTGACCTGTTCTGTACTCTTCTGTGATGCCCCTCTCCTTAGCTGTACCTAATGACTTGTTTCTAGCCCAAGCAAATCCTCTTGAATTGCTCACCACGACACAGAACAGCCCAGGAAGACCTCAGACTATCTAAGCACCAAGCCTCTGAGGTGAGGGAAGGAGCTTGGGGGCAGACCCCTGCGGAACTTTCCAGGAGATCACAGGCCCCTGAAGCCCCTTTGCTAGCGGGCCCAGCCCCTGGACCTTCAGAAACTTAAGAGATAACACAGTAGTTGTTCTAGGCAGCTAAGTTCTGGGGTAATTAAAAATTTTTTTTAAAATCAGGAGTTTTTCATGCTGATCACGCATGAGGCTACGGACAGCGGGGATTCCTGTTTTATTCTCAGAGCCCATCTGTAACTCTAGTATTTAAACAGTCTGGCATGCAACTACCCAATAAATATTGTGAGCTGGGCAACACAGCAAGCGCCTGTTGTTCCAGCCACTCAGGAGGCTGAAGCCAGAGCATTGCTTAAATCCGGAAGTTTGAGACCAGCCTGAGCAGCATAGTAAGGCCCTGATTTCTTAACATAGTAGTATATGTCAGGTGCTGGCACCTCACGCCTGTCATCCCAGCTACTCAGGAAGCTGAGATCTGAGGATCAGAGTTCTGGCTAGACAGAAAAACGTTCCAGACACTTTCCAATTAACAAGCAAAAAGCCAGAAGTGCAAGTGTGGTTCAATCGACAGAGCACCAGCCTTGAGTGAAAAAGCTAAGGGAGAGTGGCCTTGAATTCAAGTCTTGGTATGCAAATAAAACAATCCAGGTAAGGAGATGCCTGTCTGTAATTCCAGCTACCTGAGAGCTCAAGGCTTGAGGATCTTGATTTCCAGGCCAGCCCAGGAAGACTCTAGGTCAACAGTAAAATACAGGCTGGGGTCATGACATTTACACCTTGGGTTCACTCCTCAGTCTAAATAAACAGAGGATGGATGGATAGATAGATAGACAGACAGACAGATGGATGTGACTGAATGAACGACAGGGAGCCTGGGAGGCTAAAGTGTCTGCTTTTCATGTGTAAAGGCCACAGTCAGTGCTGGGGCTGCAGGTGCACTCATCAGGCCAGCCGAAAGCCCGAACTTGGGTCTTGGTGAGTTGAGACCCACAAGGGGTGATTCTGAGCAGAAGGGAAAACATCTGACTTTAAGGCCATCTCTGGGAGTCTGGATGGAGAACTGGCAGAGGACTGCCTCCGCGTGGCTGGCGGTGGTGGTGCAGGACGTGGGAAGTCCTGGGCTGAACAGGGGTGGGGCAAGAGACGGCCTGGGGTCTGTCCACCCCTGAAGCGGGATCTTCCCGGTCAGATCCGAGTCATGGAACAGAGCCTTGGAGGCTGAGTGCCAGGCCAGTCTGAAGGAAGTCCATCCTCTTGGCCTCTCTGCCTTAAACTCCTGCTGCTGCCCTTGGAGGCTCCTTCTCTGGCTTCCTTTCCTGGCCCAGTGGAAACCGAGTGGAAGACAGATGGGCTAGGGTGACAGCGGAGGCTCCGGCGGCTTCTTTCAGCAGAGCCTGCCCTGCCCAGGATGGGAGCGGGGGTGGCTCAGTTACCGCGGCTCTCTGGGCCGTGCCCCCCCCCCCACGGGGCCGCGGTCGGTGGTGTCTGCAGTCTGGCTGGGGCCAGTGGTGTCGGGGCCATGGAGGGGCTGCGGGGGAGCAGGAGGGGGACACATCATCCCCGACTGCTCAGCGGGGCCCGACCGAGCAAACAGCCTGTCAGAACGGATGATTCCCTTGTTTATGTACGAGGTACGAGGATTTGAACTCGGGGCCAAGCGTTCTACCACCCAGGCCACGCGCGCCCCAAGTTTTTGTTTTTTAATCAATCACACTCGTTTGTTTTATCTGTTCCCCTCCAGTCGGCGTCCCTCCACTCTTGGGGGGAGGCGCTCAGCCCCTGCAGGCCCAACGCCTGCCTCGACCGTGTGGGAACCAGGCCGTGGGGCCCAGCCCCTGCGAGCCCGCGGCTCGGCCCATCCCGGAGGCGGCCCCGTCACCCACTCTCTTCGCTCCCTGGAAGAAACACACACGGCCGCTGGCTTTCGCAGACCTTTTATTGTGCTTGGGGTGGAAATGGGGTGTTCTCTGGGGAAGGCGGCACTCGACGGGCTCCCTGGGCTGATCAGCGCTGCAAGACACGGGCCGTGGAGCGAGGCCACGCCTCCTTACCGCAGGCCACACCCACCACCGAGGCCGCGCCCACAAGAGCAAGCCCCACTCACAAGCAAAGCCTCACCACCCATCACCCAGCCCCACCCAGTGCGCCACGCCCTTTCAGCGGCTCTCCCCTCCCCCCAGCAGGCAGGGAGGGGCCTCCCCCCCCCCAGCCTGATACACTCACCTAGGCCAGCGCTCCCGCACACTCCTCTGTGGAGAGAGGGCCTCAGGCACCATCTCTATCCCTTCCCGTCCCTCCAGCCTCCCAGCAGGTGATGCCCTCCCTGGCGTAACGGCCTGGGCATCCTCTTTGCCCCCCCTTGGTCCAGACAGCCTGCGGTGGCCCCTGGCCAGCAGAGTGACCCTCAGGTCCCTGTCAGACCTGCAGCCCTGCGCTGGGGAGGGGGCAGCACTTACCGGACTTGGGCAGCAGGGCGCCCTGGCTGGGGCTCAGGCCCAACTGAGGGGCCAGCTGCTGCATCTTCTGCGCACCTTCGGGAAACAGCTCCGGAGTGCGGGCTGGGGGCAAGGAGGCGGGTGAGCACAGGGGACGGGGCTGAGCGAGGCCCACAGCCACTCCTGCTCCGGGAACGCCTGGGAGACACTGCCCTCCCCTGCAGGGAGCAGACTGTCTGGGGGTGCAGGACCCCCTCCAGACCAGGCCCAGGCACAGTTGGGGGAAGAGGCCTGTGCCTGGTGGCCGGAACGGCTTGCGCACCATAAAGCTGCAGCCAGGTGTTCGTCACGTCTGCCTTCTGGGTCTGGAAGTACATCACAGCGAAGTGTTCGTAGTCCGTGGAGGCCACGCGGATGTCCGTCTGGGCCATGGCTGGGGGCATGAGACTCGCTGAGCCCCAGCCCCTCAGAAGCCCCGCCCAAGCAGTCCCAGCCCAGTTGTCAACTGGCAGAGTGTGGTACGTGCCCTTCCCTCCCTGCTCCCCCTCTGCCACCTGCACCCCGCCCTCACCTGGGTTGCTGAACTGCCCATTCACAGCACCCTTGGTGAAGGTCGTGTCCAACTTCTGGCATCTGCCATCAGGCCTGGGAGAGCCGCACTCCTGAGCAGGGACCTTGGGGGTGCTCAGGCCCTGGGCCTGCCTTGCCCTCCCCAGCCACTGCCTGTCCTGAGGACGCCCTCCCCGGGGCCCTGTGCACCCGTGGTGGCCCTCAGCGGGCACGTGGCTTGATGACAGGGAAGCGCCGCTGAGCGGGGGCAGGCCTGTGCTCCATGGAAACAATGTCTCCAGCCTTCCTCCAGGTGCAACACCAGACACTGCTCCCTCCACCCCGGGCTCCTGCTGCAGGTTCAGTTCTGCCTGGGAACCTGGGGGGCGTGGGTCACCGTGGCTTTTATTCAGCCCTCCACAGCCCGGCTGTCAGGAGCCCGGTCTGCCTCCCTTGTGTGCCACACCACCGGTTCTTGTTGGCTTTGGTCTGGTCTCACACTGGCCTCCTTCTAGACCAAACTCATGTGGGGCATCCAAACTCACTCCTAGGCTGGTGGGGTCACTTACGTGGGGTACCCAAACTCACTCCTAGGCTGGTGGGGTCACTTACGTGGGGTACCCAAACTCA